CCACCCAAACCCATCCCCCTATAACCCACCTAATGTGCAAGTTCTGGAGCACAGGTCTCCAGTACTATTGCCGTAACGTTGTCAGGTCCCATAGCCTGTATCCAGTGTCTCCAACCATTTCTTGATATCATTTGGAATGAATTGAATTGGCTAAAGACTAATATCTGTAATGCTGGGGACCACTGGAGGAGACCGAGATGGATCATCTAGTCGGCACTTCAGGCTGAAGATTGCTGTGAAAGCTTCAGCCTTATCTCTTGCACTGGGCTCTTCCATCATTGAGGATGGGGATATTTGTGGAGCTTCTTCTTCCAGTGAGTTGTTTAATTGTTCACCACCATTCATAACTGGATATGGCAGCACTGCAGAGCTTAGATTTTATCCGTTGGTTGTGGGATCGCTTAGCTCTGTATAACACTTGCTGTTTATGCCGTTTGATATGTAAGTAATCCTGTTTGGTGCTTTCACCAGTTTGACACCTCATTTTCAGGTGTGCCTGGTGCTGCTCCTGGCATACCCTCCTGCACTTTCCAAAGAACCAGGGCTGATCCCCTGGCTTGATGGTAATGGTTGAGTGGTGGATATGCCGGGCCATGAGGTTGCAGATTGTGCTGGAGTACAATTCTGCTGCTGTTAATGGCCCACAGCGCCTCATGGATGCCCAGTCTTGAGTTGCTAGATCTGTGCAAAGTCTGTTCCATTCAGCACGTTGATAGTGCCCACAACACAATGGAGGGTATTCTCAATGTGAAGGTGGGACTTTGTCTCCACAAGGACTGTGCGATGGTCACTCTTACCTGTCATGGGCAGATGTATCTGCAGCTGGCAGATTGGTAAAGATGAGGTTAAGTATGTTTTTCCCTCTTGTTGGTTCCCTCACCACCTGCCGCAGATCCACTCTAGCAGCTATGTCCTTTAGGACCCAACCAGCTCGATCTGTAGTACTGCTGCTGAGCCACTCTTGGTGGTGAATATTGAAATCCCCCACCCAGAGTATATTTTGTGCCCTTGCCATCCTCAATGCTCCCTCCAAGTGTTGCTCAACATTAAGGAGTACTGATTCATCAGCTGAGGGAGGACGGTATGTGGTAATCAGCAGGAGGTTTCCTTGCTCATGTTTAACCTGAAGCCATGAGACTTCATGGGGTCCAGAGTTAATATTGAGGATTCCTAGAGCAACTCCCTCCCGACTGTATGTCACTGTGTCAGCCCCTCTGCTGGGTCTGTCCTGCCGATGGGACAGGACATATCCAGGGATGGTGTTGGGGACATTGTCTGTCAGGTATGATTCTGTGAGTGTTTCTATGTCAGGCTGTTGCTTGACTATTCTGTGAGACAGCTCTCCCAATTTTGGCACTAACCCCCAGATGTTAGTGAGGAGGACTTTGCAGAGTTGACAGGGCTGTTTCTCCTGTTGTCTTTTCCGATGCCTAGGTCAATGCTAGATGATCTGTCCAGTTCCATTTCTTTGAGACTTTGTAGTGATTTGTACAACTCAGTGGCTTGCTAGGCCATTTCAGAGGGCAATTGAGAGTCAACCATAATGCTGAAGGTCTGGAGTCACATGTAGGCCAGACCAGGTAAGGATGGTAGATTTCCTTCCCTGAAGGACATTAGTGAACCAGATGGGTTTTCCTGATGATCGGCAATGACTTCATGGTGATCAGTAGACTCTTACATCCAGACTTGCTTTTTCCCTAAATGTTGAATTTAAATTCCACCATGTGCCGTGGTGGGATTCAAACCCAGGTCCCCAGAACATTAGCTCAGCTTCTGGATTAATCGTCTCGTGATAATACCACCAGGCCATCGCCTACCCCTTTTCTTCCTGTGGATGAAAAGAGCTCTGTTTTGGGGGAATCTATGAAGAGTGAATTGATGTGGACCATGGAGAAAACTATGTATTAGATGTTTTGCAAAGTTTTGACAATTACACAATTGAAGAAAATATCACCAGCAAGCTGACCTCATTAACCCTAATCCTAACCCTGATCCTATCATACCATTTCAGTGGCATGAACTCTCTGAAGCTACTTCCACCTAGTTAACTCATGGCTGCTTTGTACCTCAATGCTTCATTTACCTGTCTATTTCCAAGTGCCTTTACCAAATGAAGATCCATCAAGCCTGGCCTTGATAATTCCAGTGGTCTCCCAGTGTCCACAGCCTAGATGGTTACCTTAGCATTGAGGAACAAAACTGATGTTAACTGATGTTTTCCCAGCCACCATCAGTTCTGAGGAAGGGTCACCGGACCTGAAACGTTAACTCTGTTTTCTCCTTCACAGATGCTGCCAGACCTGCTGAGCTTTTCCAGCAACTTTGTTTTTGTTACTGATTTACAGCATCCGCAGCTCTTTTGGTTTTTACCTTAGCATTGAGATTTGTCTGTCCAGTGTCCTGTGATTTCGGATTGGTAGAAGTCAATCTCATTCACATTCGTTGAATAACACAGGAGAGGTCTTTTGACCCGTTTGAGGCTGCACCAGCTGTTTTCAAGAACAACCAGTTAGACCCACTTCCTGGCTGATTCTTTGTAATTTTTTGCACCATAAAGTACTTCCCCAATTCCCTTTTGAAACCTGTTATTGGATTGGGCGGTTCATTTCATATCCTATCAGCTCATTTTATTAAAGTTATTTTTTCGTAGGATGTGGGTGTCACTGGCTGGGTCTGTGCATGTTGCCCATCCCCAGTTGGCTTTGAGAAGGCGATGGTGAACTGCATTCATGAACTGTTGTTCAGAAGATGGTCCCAGGCTGTTAACCCCATCAATACTGAAGGAACAGTGATATATTTCCAAGTCCATTGGTGTGTGGCTTGAAGATGAACTTGTAGGTGGTGGTGCTCTCATATATCTGCTGTCTTTGACCTTCTAGTTAGTAGTGGTTCTGGGTTTGGAATGTGCTGTTGGAGAAATCTTGGGGAATTGCAGCAGTGCATCTTGTAGATGGCACAATGCTGCCACTTTGTGCCAGTGGTGATGGGAACGAATGTTGAAGTTGGTGGATGGGATGTCAATCAAGAGGAGCTAGTCTGTCCTGGATGGTGTCGAGCCTCTTGAGTGTTGTTGGAGCTGTACTTGTCCACGCAAGTTGGGGCGTATTCCATCACACTCCTGACCTGTGCTTTATAGATGGTGGACAGGCTTTGGGGAGTCAGAAAGTGAGTTACTCGCTGCAAAATTCCTAGCTTCTGACTGACTTTTGTAGTCACAATACTTATGTGGCTATTCCATTTCAGTTCCTGGTCAGTAATGACTCCCACGATGTAGATAATGGGGGATTCCGTGCTGCTAATGCCATTGAATATCAAGCAACAATGATTGTCTTGTTGGAGATGGTCATTGCCTGGCACCAGTCTCCTTAAATATGTGCCCTCTGGTTACTGACAGTTCAGGCACCAGCAATGCTTTCCCTTAACTTCCTCTGTCTAAAGCCTTTGAGGTTTTCACCACCATCATCGAATCTCCGCTGCTGTAAGTTAACTGGTCTTTTCCACTGGTATATCTGAGTTTGTGGTAATGGAGTTTTGATGGGCGTCATAGGAACAGGAGTAGGCAATTCAGCCCATCAAGTATGCTGCACCATTCAGTTAGATTACGGCTGACTATCTACCTCAATGCCACTCTCCTGTACAATCTGCATATCCATATCAATTTCTGTCATGAACCTACTCAGCGGTCCTCTGATGTAAATTCCAAAGATTCAGCACCCTCTGAAGAAACTCTTCCTAATATCACTCTAAATTGGCCTGCCCTTCATTCTGAGATTATGAACCCTAGTTCTAGACTAACCAACTAGGAGAAACATCTATGTCAACTGTGTCAGCCCTGTAAGAATGTTAATATGTTATGTCTGGGAGGTCGCCATCATCCTTTGAAACTCTAGGGAATGCAGACAGCTGCTTTTTATAGAATCTCTTCATAATTTTAAAATCAAACTTTTTACCTGGCAGTTAACATTATATTTTCTACAGCATTGCAATGCAATTTTGTATTTTTTAATATACATAAATTAACCCCTGGGTGGCACAGTGGTTAGCACAGTTCCCTCACAGTGCCAGGGACCCGGGATCACTTCCATCCTTGGATAACTGTGTGTGGAGTTTGCATATTTTCCCCGTGTCTGCGTGGATTTATGCGAGGCGCTTTAGTTTCCTCCACAAGTCCAAAGATAAAGTCATACAGCATGGAAACAGACCCTTCAGCCCAACTTGTCCATGCCGACCAGGTTTCCTAAACTGAACTTGACATATGGGAGGCAATGGCCTAGTGGTATTATCGCTGGACTGTTCATCCAGAGACCCTGGATAACATTCTAGGGACCCTGGTTCGAATCCCCCTACGGCAGATGGTGCAATTTGAATTCAATAAAATATATCTGGAATTAAGAATCTAATGATGACCATGAATCCATTGTTGATTGTCGGGAAAAACCCATCTGGTTCACTAAGGCCCTTTAGGGAAGGACACTGCTACCCTTACCTGGTCTGGCCTACATGTGACTCCAGACCTACAGCAATGTGGTTGACTCTGAGCTGCCTTCTGGGCAATTAGAGATGGACAATAAATGCTGCCTAGCCAGCAACATCCTCATCCCATTAAGGAAAAAAGAAAAAAAAACTACTCCCATTTGCCTGCATTTGGCCCATATCCCTCTAAACCTTTTCTGTTCATGTACTTATCCAAATATCTTTGTAATTGTACTTGCCTCTACGACTTCCTCTGGAAGCTGATTCTATATATGCGCCACCCTCTGTGCAAGTGGATTGGCCATACTAAATTGCCCTGCAGTGTCCAGAGAATGTGCAGGCTAGCAAGATTAGCCATGGTAATTGCGGAGGTAGGGGGGATCTGGGTGGGATGCTGTTCAGAGTGTCGGTGCAGACTGAGTGGGCCGAATGGCCTCTACCTGCACTGTAGGGAATCAATGATTCTGATACATAAAATTAAATACAGTTAGGAATATAAACTAATTTTTATAATAAAGACAACCTTGTTCATAGTTTAATAGGAAGGAATTTATTATATAATACATGGACAACTGACATTTAATGGAAGTTTATTTATATGAGCCATCACTTTGCTGTCATTTCAGCCTGTGAATGTTGGGTCATCAGACCCACCTCGACTACGCCATTGGCTCCCAAACCAGTGTGCAGGAGGAGGTCGGCTTGCTACGTTCTCTGAATGGCCAACCCTTTTCTGATTGAGAGCTCATCTGGCAGAGCACCGTCAGGAGGAAACTGTGTCCCTGTTGCGGTGGTCAACAAGGGAACTGTGGTTGAGAGCCTTGGATTGCTGTTCGGGGCAGCAAGACTGTACATGACAGGGCGAGGATAGATCAGAAAGGAGGCTCAATTTGGAGAGACAGGGCTCTCCTCAGTCCCTGGTGAAAATCTCTTTTAGGACACCCCCCTCCAGCCCCCAAGTGGCACGGGTTTATGTTGGTGCTGAGCAAGGCATTAGGATTCAAATCCCTTTCTTGCTTCATTGCCTCACATGAACCAAAGTTGAACAGAAGCTTTTGGATTACATTCCCCAAGACGTCTGGGGGATGCTTTTACCATATGAAAGGGACTTTTAAGTGCAAGTTTCGGGCCATTGCTTTTACAAATGAGGCACTTGAATGATGTGCTATTGAAACTAGTCTCTAAATCCCAGCAACAGGTTCAAAATGTGGTCGGGGGTGGGGGTGGGGTGTGGCAGCAGGAAGGGGGAGATTTGCAGAATTAACTAAAAATACATATTTATGTATGCTACATGAATAAAAATCTCAATGTTGCGCATCAGTGAGAAAATAATGAAGAAAATCATTAGCCCCGTTCTGTAAGTGCAGATTTGCTAAAAGGGGCTTAGTTTCTGTTGATGCTAAACGAAAGTCTTGGCCTGAGTCTGTACACACAAGTGTTTAAGACCTAGACGGGGTTGAAGTCTTCACAGTTAGTGCATTACAAAGAATTGTATTTCTTTGAGTTTGTTATATAAAAATATTTTGGCACTTTTCTTTGGCAAGGTTCAGTTTCACGTCCTGGTGATACAGCGGGGGTAGACTTGTACAGGTCATAGCCTCTGACATAGCCTCTAGCTGCTCCTGGATCTCCCTGTTGTCCCAGCTGGGGTAGGCAGGAGGAGTGGTCGTCAATTTGCCCAGTGTTGCCCCTGTGTAGGTGACTGAAGAATAAAGGGCATCCTGAGACCGGTGCTGCCAGTCATCCTGTTGCCTGTGGATCTTCATGTGAGCATTTCGACTCTTGATTTTATAAAACATCCTAGATTATTTTAGGGTTGAGGAAGAGAGAAATAATTTTAAAAAAACAATCAATAGGAAAGTAAAGATACAACTTTAATCTGTGACTGTGCACACTTGTGTATAGTTTAGTGGTTGTCTCTTGATTTTTATGTAGTGAAAGTCTCTGTCCATCTGACTGTGTCTATTTGTCCCATCTTGTTTGTGCCTCTGTCCCTGCCCTGTCACTATCTCTCTGTCTCTGTCTTTGTCTGTATCTGATATTTGCTCCTGTCTCTGTTCATATCCTTAATCTTCCCATATTTCTATTGCTGTATTTCTGTGTTTTTCTGTCTCTCTCTCTCTCTGTATGTATGTGTTTCTCTTTTTGTCGTATGGCTTATGTCAGGTACACTTACTTGCCACATTGTTTGCAGGGAAAGTTGCCGATGACAGTGGGGCAAGGACCTTCTATCTCCACTCTGTGAGCATGCTGTATCGATTGAGAACTGGTAAATGGCTGCTTTGAATTCAAATGAAACAGTAAAAATTTAGAAACATATTCTGGGTATAAAACATAATGATACAAAGTACAGTTTGGATGTGGGCATCATGGATATGTCCATTTCAACACTTAATTAAATCCCCTGCCCTGTTGTGGAGTAATATCCCATAGTGTAATCTTAGTCACCCTGAATAGAAATATTAAGTGGCACCACTCTTTATTCAGACCTTTATGCAGTTCTTTGGTTTTATTTATTCGTAGGCTGTGGGCATTCCATGCTGGGTCACTGTTTATTGCTCATCCCTAATTGTACTTGAGAAAGCAGTGCCTTCTTGAACTGCTGCAGTTCATGTGGTGTACGTACACCCACAGTGTTATTAGGGAGGGAGTTCCAGGGCTTCGGCCCAGTGATACTGCCGGGATGGCAGTATATTTCCTAGTAACAATGGTGTATGGCTTTGAGGGAAACTTGCAGGTAATGGTCATGTATCTGCTGCCCTTCTCCTAGATGGTAGGGGCTGTGGGTTTAGAAGGTGTTGTTGAAGGAGCCTTGGTGCATTTCTGCAGTGCATTTTGTAAATGGTACACAATGCTGCTACTGAGTGTTGGTGGTGGAGGGTGTGTCAGGCAGGCTGCATTGCCCTGTAACACTTCTTGAGTTTTGTTGGAGTTACGCAAATCCAGGCAAGTGGGGAGTATTCCATCAGTCTCCTGCCTGGTGCCTTTCGAAGGGGATCAGGCTTTGGGGAGTTGGGAGCTGACACCCATTTTGGATAAAATTACAATTGCCTTGTGCAATATGTGCTAACTCACCACAAACTATAAAGGCCTTGGGACTGTTTGATTGGGACAGTTCTGATATAAACTGACATGTGCTACTAAGAAGTGGGTAATATCGTAAAATAATCTCCCTTAAGAGTTAGGAGTTAGTGGTAGCTCCAGAATGGAAGTGTTGGGATAAAACCCTGAAGAGGGCATGAAAATGAGTTTGTTTAAACTCTGGTATGTTGACTCCAGGAATACACTGCCTAGTCTAGGAGTTAAAGTTCACAATCACCCTAAACCTATCAAGGTGTTAAAGAAAGGGGTTCTGGTCTGAGTACTGTACAAGGCTTGCTCCTGAGTACTGTACGAGGGATTTTTTTTCTTCAAACTTTTGAAGGAGAGTTTCGGGATAAATGGGATTATACTTTTACTGTGTATTTAAACTTTGCAAATTTGTATTATAATAGGTTTATCCCATTTTATCATCCTTTCGTTTGCCTAATAAACATCTGTTTTATTGTTAAAACAAAGTTGGTAACTTTGTGTGCATTTGTGTCAGTAAGAGGCCACTTCATTAAAACCAAATCAAATACAATTCCTCAAGCCAGATTTCAGTCTGAGATGGCAGGACTAACATACAAACAGAGACTGGATCAGTTAGGACTACATTTGCTGAAGTTTAGAAGAATGGGTAGGGATCTCATAGAAACTTATAAAACTCTAACAGGGAAGACATAGAAAAGATATTCCTGCAGACTGGTGACTCCAGAACCAGGGGTCACAATCACAGGGTATGGGCTAGGCCATTTAGGACTGAGATGAGGAGAAATGTCTTCATCGAGAGTGTGGCGAGACTATGCAATTCTCTGCCACAGAAAGTGGTTGAGGCCAAAACTTTGAATGTTTCAAGAAGGAGTTGAATATTGTTCTTGGGGCTAGAAGGATCAAAGGGTATGTGGAGAAAGCAGGAGCCAGGGTACTGAGTAGGATGATGAGCATGATCATACTGAATTGTAGACATACACCAGCTCCTATTTTCTATGGTTTTTGTGGCATTTGACTTATCCAGCAACAACATTAGCTAGGATCATAGTACATGGCGAAGGCAGCTTTAGTCTGTATCTCACCCTGTGCTATCCTTGTCCTGGGAGTGTTTGATGGGGACAGCGTTGAGGGAGCTTTACTCTATATCTAACTGCATGCTGCACCGTCTTGGAAATGTTTGATGAGGACAGTGTAGAGTGAGCTTTAGTTTCAGTTAAAAGGATAGAGAGAGTTTTACGCTGTATCTAGACCCATGCTGTATCTTTCTTGGGAGCATTTGCAACAACACACAGACCACTTCTTCCACAGTAATAGTTAGAGCCTCACCTCACAGTCAGTGTCTTGTTTGAACACATTGTTCCAATCGTCATCTGTGTCTGATGGTCGATGGCGATGTTTCTTGTTAAACTTGAGTATCTTCTTAAAGTTGTAGTAATACTCAACACATTCTGTAACAAGTTTGGACTTCACCTGTAATAATGCAACAGAAGGTGGCCATTGAGGAATTATAGCTGTGAGGTTCCATGTATGATACATTGAACGTTGAGCACAGAAATAACTCATATTTCCATGCACTCAAGTCACCTCCCACCTCCCATCCGATCCCATCTTTAATCCCCTTTAAATGCACCCATGCTTGACCTTATCTGCACTATCTGGTAAGAAATTTCATGTTCTTATCATTAGAACTACCAAATAATTCCTGGGATGGCAGGTTGTATGGGGAGAAATTAATGCCAATTTAGAAAAATGAGAGGGCATCCCATTGAAACATAAACGATTCTGACAGAAGCTGGATAGACTGGGTGTGGGGCACACCCAGTTTGTTTCTCCTGTCTGGTGGGAGAGGTCCATCCCTAATTACCGCTTGGGAGGATGGTGAGCCATCTTGTTGAACTGCAACAGTTCATGTGCTGTAGGTACAGTGCTATTAGGGACGGAGGTCCAGGATTTTGAACCAGTGAAAGAATGGCTGATTCAAGATGAAGTCAGAAATCACATGACACCAGGTTATAGTCCAACAGGTTTATTTGAAAACACAAGCTTTCGGAGCCTCAGTCCTTCTTCAGGTGCCAGTGAGAGAGGTGGCATCAGCTACAGAATTTATAAGTAAAAAAATCAAAGGGCCATACCATTGATGAGGATGTACTAAAGAAACCTAAGATGCTGTTAAATCTTTAATCAGTTAGAATGTTTTAATTGATTGATATGTATACGTACATCCCTGAATTCCTTTCAAGTCACAGTCCTGAGAGAACTAAAGGTTTTATCAGTGTAAAGAAGTGATGACATTTTAGGTCAGACAATGCATGCTATGTGTGAAGCCTTGTTTGGAATCTGTTTGTGTTTTAGTTTGAAGACAGACTGCTTTTATTTCTAAAGTAGGAATTTATAAAACACCATATTGACTGACTGTCTATAAATTGAGTGCTTTTTGAACAAAATGGAATGTATCTGCAAATACAAATTCACCCCATAGATTCAGAGTGTGTGTGTGTGTGCGTGTGTGTTGAGAGAAAGTGAGTGTGAGTGTGAGGGGTAGAGAGTGTGTGTGTGAGCAAGGGGGGAGAGAGAAAGTGAGTGTGTGAGTGAGGGGGGGAGAGAGAGAGAGTGTGCGTGTGAGCGAGGGGAAAGAGGAGGGAGAGTGTGTGCGTGTGAGTGTGGGTGTGGGGGGGAGAGTGTTTGTGTGTCTCTCTCTCTCACACACACACACAATCTCTCTCCTTACACACACTCTCCCTCCTCTCTCGCACACACACACTTCGCTCCCTCACTCTCACACACAGCCCCCCCACTCTCTCTCTCGCTCTCCTCACAAACACACACGCTGTCACCCCCCTCTCTCTCACACACACACACACGCTCTCTCCCACCCTCTCACACACACACTTTCACTCCTCACACACACACTGTTCCCCCCCTCTCTCTCTGTCTGTCTCTCTCTCTCTCTCTCTCTCACACACACACACACACACACACACACACACACACTCTCCGACAGTGCAGAGTTCTGTCAGCATTGACCCTCCGACAGTGCGGCGCTCCCTCAAGCGCTGACCCTCCGACAGTGCAGATCTCCCTCAGCACTGACCCTCCAACAGTGCAGATCTC